CAAGGTTCCAAGTGCCTCCCAGACTAAAGACTAACACAAAACAGATCCACTTCCTGCCTCTTTGTAAAGAAATTGCTGGGAATACAAACTGGGAGCTGAGGCTGTTTCGCTTAAAATGATGTTGACAATAGGAAGCATTTTCTTTCTTTTTATGAAAAGCTTTTTGTTGCAAAGGTGAGGCTTCTCTTACTTGCTCCATCTCCAATGCTCCCAAACCCAGAAACCTTCAGGTGCTTACAAGTGCGTTAGTCCGTTTGTTCCCTCATAGCAAAATTCAAACACTCTCCCTTCTCCCAACCTTACTTCTTAAGATCTTTTCACAATAAGAAATAGTTCCTGTTGAGAAACTCTCCTGTTGAGAGTTTTCAACTCAGTTAAATATATATACAAGTATCTGCTGTAAAGTGTGCATATTTTACACTCTCCCTGCTTCTGAGAAAGCTCGATTGCTATTGCAGTGAAAAGTTTGATAGGTGTTACCTGTGGAAGGCAATAGTTAGAGATATTCCAGCTCCTGGTTTTGTTTTGTCTTATTTTTGGCTTTTATCATGTTACAACAGTGCTATTAAGACCTAAAAGTCCATCCAAAATTTAACCTCATATTCTTTAAAGACCTCTAAGCAACTTAAAGGAACTATCCTAGGTCCAATGAGGATATTCCCTGTAGTTTTTAAAGTTGTTTATTATTCATGCAGTATAGAGCTGAAATCTTCTATGAGGTAATGAGATGAGACACTGCAATGTTTCTCTTCCTTCATTTCTGCTTGAGTTCATTGCTGCATTGTATCTTGATCTGGCTCTAGTATCTTCTTGTGGGCAAACTTCCTGCATTAACTGCACTATTATATCTTTTATCTATACTAAGCAAATTACAGCCATTGATTATTACATAATAATACTTTTTGATAATAGCAATTTAGGATTTTGTAGAGCTACTATGAATAATTAGCATCACAAGGAGGAGTTTTACGGGAGAATTTCCTGAGGATATCGTGTCAGAGCTGGACAGCCTGTATGTATTATATTCACTCAAGAAGTAATTACCAATGACCCAAGTGTATTGTTATGACTAAATTTAGACTTTGACATCTACACTATACTTCCAAATAGCCTTTGGGTGAGATCCACTTCAATTTTCCTGTAAGAGGATAGTTCAAACCTGGTGGTTCATTCATATCAGCCTTATTTACAAAGGCCTCTTCTTAACTCCAGGAACTGAATGACTTGCACTTTACTATCCACTTGTGTGGTATTGTCATGATGGTAAGTAGCTTAATGGACTAGAGATCACAGCATTTCAGTAAATCTCACTGTGTTCTAGGTCTGTGCTAGTAGTGAAGGTATTCCTTTCCTGTCCTGGATAGCCGTACCTAAATTTACGTTTTGCTAGAATTGGTAAGAGATAGCAAGCACCAAAAGTCTCTTGGACTGCAAGTGATTTGTTTAAGTTTAGAACAGGAAATGGGTGCCAGTAGTTGATCTGAGTTAGTTAGGTTTTTGTCTGAAGAAGAATACACTTGCCAAGCAAAGCAAAAGTTTGAATGTGCTCACAAAATTAAATCACTTTCCTTCTCCCAAAAATGAAATGATGGAAATATTTTGTTCTGAATTTTCAAAATGACTGCATTTCTCTTTAAAATTTTCTGGAAAAAAAAAGTATTTCACTTTATCTTTTAAAATATATTTAAGAATTATGTGTTAAAAAAAGAAGAGTTTAAATTACTTGAAAACAAACTTTCTTTAAGCTGACTGATGTGTGTGGTTGATTTAGATGAAACTTACCAGCTAATTTACTCAAGCAAAACAAAACCTTAAAGACGTATATTTTGTTTTCACCTGTATCTTCTTTGCCTAATTTGCTATTCCCATTGTTCAATTGGTCAAAGTGAACAACCCCTCATTCTACTGGATATGCTTCTAGTTAACTCGAACATGCAAGCTTCATAGTCGGCATTATTCAAACACGTCTTACTGTATCACTCACTTTATGAGGGGAGAGAAATGATTTTCCTGTTGCAGGAGTCCAGCTTTGCCACTAGGTCTATATCTCCAAGAAAAATTTCTTCACTGTGAGGGTGCCAGAGCCCTGGCACAGGCTGCCCAGGGAGGCTGTGGAGTCTCCTTCTCTGGAGATCTTCCAAACCCGCCTGGATGCCGCCCTGTGCCCCGTGCTCTGGGTGTCCCTGCTGGAGCAGGAGGGGTGGTCTGGATGATCTCTGGAGGTCCCTTCCAACCTCAGCCAGTCTGTGATTCTGTGATGTCCCAGCTACAAGTGGAAAGGGGATTAGCACCCATCTCTCTTTGATCAGAAAGGGTGCACGGCCTGGACTTGGGATCCACTTGGCAGAGATTAATGTAATCTTGATTCACAGCCACAAGTGCAAACAGTGAAAGAAACTCCCCCATTCCTCTGGGGACAAGGTAGATGCAATACTGAAACATGAATAGCTAAATGCTGAAAAGCTCAGAGGTCTCAGGACTCAGCAACGGATCCTGTGAAGGGAGAAGGGAGAAGGAGGGCGCAGGGGGCTGCCTTCAGCAGCCCTGCTGCTTCTGTGGATATTCCATGCTCAAGTGTAGCAAAGATGCTTATTTTTCCCTTCTCCCACCCTATTCTTCCAACCAAAGTAAAAACAGTAGGAAACTGAGCGGAGAGTCACTTTACATTTTGGACTCATCCCCATCAGTGTCTGTATTTGGGTTGTATCATCAGGAAATGCCCTCCTCAGTCACTTCATTGAAGTAAAGAAGTATAAAAGTCTTACCTGATACATACAGTTTAATTCTAGATTTCTGTGTTTTCCTGGAGGGAGTCCTACTCTGCTTATAGATGCAGGTGTACACGGCTGTATCGTCTAATCGGACATTGGAGAGCTGGAGGGAGAAGTTGCCATGCTTCACCTCATCCAAAAAAAGACTGGTCCTGTCATGGTAATTCATGTCTTGGTAATCCAGTGAATCTGCTCCATTGTGAAAAAAATGCACCAAAACAGACTCCTTCTGCCAGTAGAGCTTTGAATTGGAAAGATCCAGCTCTCCAGAAGAGGTGACGTTACAAGGCAGAATGACAGTCTCTCCAACAAATGCCTGGCACGTTGTGTCTGGCTCACCTGGGCAAAAAGCAGACAACTCGCTCAGTGGGCAGCAGCACTAAGCACACCAGGATTCCCAGAAATTGGCTTATTTACAACTTTATTGCCTCTTTTCCCAGCCTCCTGCTCCCAGCCACGTCACACGCTGTGACCTCAGGCCCGTCGGTGCCGACTGGCCGGCCAGAGGGGCAGTAAGGCAGATGCAGCCTGCACCCACCTCTCCAGTGCTGGAGTTTTCCTAGCTACGGATTCCTCTCCAGTTTCTGGGAATCTCTGTCTTTGTGATCGGGTGTCAGATTCAATTGAAGTTGACACTTTGCAAAGGGAGAGAAGCAGGAGCAGGCAGGAAAGGGAAGGCTGGCAGACAACAGCACTGAACAAGTTTTGTTTTGGTTAGAAGTCTGGCTAAAGAAAGGGAAAATGTGCAAAGGCTGTTACATTGTCAAGAGAAGAATCCCGGAAAAAATAGATCCCCCTCAACTCGCATTGCTGTCCGGTCATGGCTCCAGCTGTGTAAATAATGTCCCCTTCTTCTTCCTCTGCTCCATCTTGGAGATGATCTGACAGAACAGGGTATTTTTTTGCACATTTGTTTGGAAGCACAGAAGGATCTTGCTAACTGTAGTGCCTGCATCTCTGATAAAACTATTCTTCCAGCATCCCCAAAAAGGAGCACTGTCACTCCCATTTTAAAGATGGAGCAGTGAAGCACAGAAAGGCTAAATGACCTTTCCAAGACCTCAAGGAGACAGACTGTTATCTCTGAATGTGGTTTTTATCTGTGAACTGGACAGTTGATGGTAATGGTACAAACTGGTTCCAGCAAATGCAAGAATCTCTGATATTAGTGAGCATGGCACACTGGTGAACAAGCAGGCAGGTATGGCAGGAAAACAAACATTGCAAAGGGTACACTATTCATTGAAGGACTCGGGTGCTAAATATTTTCACAAATTTTTCCAAGTCAGTTGAGAACAAACTATAACTTCCACAAATGGAGGGATCTGCTATTAGCAGGCAGGACAACTCTGAGTAGATTTTGCTGTAACATTTTCCAGGGGAAGGCTGAGGAATGCAAGAGGTCTCTATGCTTAAGTAGCTATGCATGTTTAGAAAATAAAAGCATGAGTTTTTAAAGCACAGACAACTAGGTATTTTTAGCACCCAATATGGACTTAGTGATTTGACCAAATTTGTTTCATAAATCCTTTTTTTTTTTTTTTTTTTTTTGGTGAATTAAAACCCAGATGAATTTATTTGAATGGGAAACTTTCCTCCCCAGCAGGGAGCTGAACAAAAATATCATAAGCTTATGATTTCACCAGGAAGAAGCGTCAAAATTCATTGTGAAATAACTCAGTCTGTTCTCATTGCCAAAGTTATATAAAGCGTGAGAGGCAAGTAGCCAGACTAAATAAAAAATTAAATGGTCTGAGAGTGGGCATTCCCGTGTTTTAGGTACGTAAACATGGTAAGGGTCAGGTTCTGTCCTGACCCTTACTATCTTGAGAGCTCAAGAATTTAAAGATTGCATCAGTCACTGAAAAGGTTTTCTCAAAAGAAGCCTGAATCACAACAGTATCTAAATAACTATCTCCTTATTTTATTTATAACGAAGTTCTGGCCTCTGTTGCACTGCCAGAGCACATACAGCCCTATGCTTATTAAGGAAAGCACCTCAGCCCTGCAATTAGTGACTGCTAATTATCCTTCTCTGGGAGTGCCCTTAGCTTACCCAGCACAGCTGGAAGAAGAGCCCAGCTGTGAGAAGGCAGCTCAAGAGTCACCCTGGGCTGTGGGGCTCAGGGGAAGATGACTGAGGCTGTGCTTAGTTGAGCCTCCCAATGGCAGGGCAGTACCCTGGTTTCTGCTGGCCATGGTTAGTTAGGTGTGGGGCAGTGACAAGTGTCTCTGAGTTGGCTCTGGCTGTTAGGAAAAATTAAGCCTACAGAACTTCCTAGGAAGGGGATTTGTATCTACTGGAGGCTGTTGGTACTGAAAATGCTCACAATGTACTCAGTTATACATGCATAAAGGTAAGACAATCCTGAGCTCAAAGAGATGTGTAGCTCTGTTAAGGAAATCAACAATGAAGTTCTTGCTTAAAGAGCATAACAGGAAGAGAAGAACACTTGTTCTGCCTCTTGGTCCTCTTCACTTTTAAGTTTGGTATCAGTTTTGGAACTGTGAATGCATCAGTCTCACCTCCCTGGAATAAAGGACCTTATGAAAGGTACCCCTGAGAAGGTGGTTACGCTAAAGTCTGGCTAGGGGATATGATGTGGGATTTCTCCCTGAGGACCTTGGCACACTTGCAGGAGTGGAATGGGGAGTTTTTTGGCCAGAAGCCTGAAGCCCTCATGCAGGGAGCACCAGGGATTGTGGTAGTCTACTCCTGGACTGCATCGAGTGAGGTGAGCAACACTTGTCTGTTTTGCCTTGCATGCTGTATGTGTTGTGGTCTTGCACAGATTTCTAACCTGGAAAAAATACATGTTCACAAGCAGCTTTCACTTGCTGACAAAAACCTAAAATATTTATTTTTATTTATTTATTTTTTTTGGTCTATCATATTTAAATACAAAACCAACTCCAAGAGAATTAGGGTTATAAGGATGACTTGGAATTTGGTTATTCAATATTATGGTGAAAAGGTGGGGGATGCTCTAGGAACATGGGCAGCAAGGTGTGTCTCTTTCTTTCAGCTTGGAGGTTCTTACAGGGTCACTGTCATAACTGCAACTTGTGTGCTTGTGTGTCAATATTTCCACAAATTCCTAGATGTGGATTGTGCTATACATACCTCTGGGTAGAGACGTGAACAGTAAACAGGCAAACATCCAGAAAGCAGTCTCCCTAATGAAGTGAAAGAAAGGGAGAAATGATGAATGTTTTGTTGGAATGCTACAGCAGAGATAAAATTTATGTCCTCTTTCACAACTTCCTCAACTGTGAAGGAAATTGGGATAGATATCCGTGTGGATGAGAAGCCCTGTCTTGCTTTGCCTTCTGCTCTTTGGTGCAAATCACAGTTTTTATATATGAGCTTTCTCAATGGTCCTAAGGGGTTGGAGCTTTGGTCACTATGTCCATAGCTCTTTCTTTGGCTCTCATGTCGGGGAGGTTAATTGCACATATAGTTGGCTCTTGAAATTACTTTTCTTTGGTAATGAAACAGATTCTCTCTGCCCGCAAACTTCAAGCACTCTGCAGTAGAAGAAAGGCTAGCTTACCATTTCATTTTTGTGGCTTCCCTGTAGCTAGGAATTGTCCCACGTCACTAAATTCACCAGGCACTTCAACTATGAATTTTGCCTCTGTAAAAACAAAAGTGAAAAGCTTTTTTTCTTCTCTTTCTTTTCTTTTTTTTTTTTTTTTTACCCTCTCCATAAGAACTTCTCTAGAAGGATGTTTACTACACCTGGTATTTGGTTTCATGAGGTACAGTTTTTCTTCTTTCACTGTGTGCATAGAATACCAGGAATTTATTTTCAAGCCTAGGATGGGTGTGGGTCACAAGACATGCTGCAGAGACCAGCTGTGTGTTTTTTTTTTTTTTTTTTTTTTTTTTTTTTTTTTTTTTTTTTTTTTTTTTTTTTTTTTTTTTTGTTTGTTTGGGTTTTTTTTATCCTCTCTCTCTCTTCTCCTCAGCCCTTCGTACGGGAATCTTCTGCAGCCAGCCAGGATCAAAATAGATGGTGAAACCTGATGGATATCTAATAAAAACACATGCGTTGAGACATGTAAACACTGTCCCCATAACTCTAGCAAATATCATCTACGAGGATGATCAGGGGCCTGGAACATCTGCCCTACGAGCAAAAGCTGAGGGAGCTGGGCCTGTTCAGCCTGGAGAAGAGGAGGCTGAGGGGGGACCTGTTCGGTGTCTATAAATCATAGAATCATAGAATGCCCAAGGTTGGAAGGGACCTCAGAGGTCGTCTAGTCCAACCCCCCTGCTCACGCAGGGTCACCTAGAGCACGGGGCACAGGGCTGCATCCAAGCAGGTTTTAAAGATCTCCAAAGAAGGAGACTCCACAACCTCAAGGGAGGCAGTGAGGAGGAGGGGGCGGCCTCTTTCCAGTGGTGGCCAGCGACAGGACTAGAGGAAACGGTCACAAGCTGAGGCACCAAAAGTTCCACAGGAACTCGAGAAAACACTTTTTGACAGTGAGGGTGCCAGAGCCCTGGCACAGGCTGCCCAGAGAGGTTGTGGAGTCTCCTTCTTTGGAGATCTTAAAACCCGCTTGGATGCAGCCCTGTGCCCCGTGCTCTGGGTGACCCTGTGTGTGCAGGGGGTTGGACTGGATGATTTCTGGAGGTCCCTTTCAACCTTAAGCATTCTATGATCATCCAAGCTGCACATCCACCCATAAAATAGAATCAAAACTAATAAACCTGTACGGAAAATACTGACCAAAACATCTTCTTAGTATGCTTTTGAAGGCAGGTGGAAAATCAGATCCTTTCTCAAGAAGGCAGCAACCAGAATGAGGAGAAAGGATGTAGATTTGGGATTTTCTCACCCCATCCCATTCCCTTCTCCACTCAGCACCTCATATCTTATGGAAAGAAGAATGCAAGGGACAGCTCTCCCTAGTGTGCTGCAGGGATGGTGCTGATGGAGGAATGGGTGGTTTGGCCTCAGGCGTCTCATGTCCTGCCTGGGCTGACTGTGGGGAGAAGGTGTGGGGAAGCTGCTGGTGCAGCTCTGTTGCCTCGGGGGAAGACGGGTTTCCTCCGGTAAGCAAGGCCCCAGCGTGGCCCTCGGGGGGAACCTGCTCCTTCCACCAGGGCTGGAGCTCGTGTGCTCGCACTCAAAATGCTGGCACAAGAGCTGCATTTCTGACCTTCCCCTCTCTTTTTGTGGCCAAGCCCTGGTTGCACTTCATTTATCAGCCCTTTCCTGATACCTAGCGCAAACCATCTGGCGTCTTTGGCTTCTTATAGCAAGCAGGAGATGAGCGTCTGGCTCTAGATGCACCTCATTCCCTCTAGGCTCCTCTGGGTGGCGTGGGCCATGAAGGGTTGAGCCTGGGCTGTGGTGTGATAGATGCTGTCTGCATGGGAAAGCTTGAGGCATCTCTTTGGGAAGTCAGTGCCCCACAGAGGTTAGCTTAGCCTTAAAATGTTAAGCATGAGTTGAGTGACATTGTTGAGAGCTTGTGGAAGGTTATGGTGGTCTTTGTGCCCTTTGGGAAAGGGCAAACAGATGATGCACAGCAGCTAGCATGGGGAAGGATTTTGTTTGGCAAGTGCCGTGAAATCTTTGCCTGCTTGAGGTGTTTGTTTGTTTGTTTGTTCATTTGTTTCTTAATGGATCAAAATCAATGTATCCTACATGTTTTTGATAGACCTCTCATGTGGTAATCATTCTCCCAGATTACATAGTTACTTTTCTAGGCGTGGGCATATTCTTATGCTAAGTGAGGTTATGTGATAGGTATTTCCTCCTTGACTTCCTTTAGTAAATGAAACTGAAAAATGACAGCCAGCTTTATCCACCTGACTAGTTTTCCATGGTGCTTCACAGATTTTAGACTTCTGCACACATACCCTGTACCCTCCATCCCACCCACCCCTGATTTTGTACCAAAATACTATCAGAAAACCCTTGTCCTGTGCTCTGGCCTGGCACTGAGTCAAGAGCAAGGTGAAGCTGGAGGGGCCGTGCTTTCACGCTGGCTTTTCCTTAGGTCCTAATCAGAAGGAGGGCAGCCTGAATGCTGAGCACTTTGCTGTCACCTCTTCCTGTAGGTAAAGTTGGCCTTTTGATACCTTCCTCTGCAGAAGGAACTCAAAATCTGATGTATGTGACCAGCTAACAAGTCTGTGTAAAGCAACAGGCAGGAACGAGCCAAAAGCCACATCTTGGAGAAGCAATAGCTTCCTCCTCCGGGGCCATCCATTTGCTAATATTTTTATTTTATTTTATTTTATTTATTTTTTTTTTTTAATTCTGACTAAAGAACTGACTTAAACCAGAGCCTGTTTTTTTATGTGTCTGGCTTTGGCCAGGGAGTCCCTTTGGGGTTTCTGGTTCCCACAAACGTCACTACCAAGGTCTTGTGGGGTGGGGGGAAGTGGGACCAGACTTGCAATACCAAGTAATATCCAACACACATATGAATGTTGCTCACTTTAGTCATCCATGTGCTTCTGTTGGTTCCCTTTAGTTCCCTATTGAAGTTTAAGCCTGAACATAAAAGCAGAGTAAGGGAGGTTTTCTTTTTAAAGAAACACTTTTTTGCAGGTGTCTCTTCTAGATTGTTTTAACTGGAGCAAGGGACTTAATATTTTGTTTGGCTTAATCAATTATTTGGTTGAAATAACCTTTATGGGTTGAGCTGATACTGCTTGAAATACAAATGTTTATACCTAATTTAAACAAGGATTGCTAAACTGGAGATCTGTTCCAGTCTATGCACTTCAGCTGGTGCAACATGTTTCAGTTGCTGCATGGATGAGTTTTAAAATGAATAGTTTCTATTTGCTCTTTCATGTCTTGCCTTTCTTAGGTGGTGACATAAATGAGAAGGAAGTTGAGAACTTTTTTGTGTGTGTGTGTGTCTCTGTTTTGAAATGTAAAAATCAATTTCCTATGCATTTATTATGATGTTTGCACTCATTTTTCAGAGGCAAAAACAATTAGCTGAGGAATACTGTGCAGTGAAGAACCATTCTCTGAAGAATTAAAATACTAAGTAATATCTCTTTTAACACATGGGTCTATTTAATACAGACGAAGTCAGGCCAGGCAAGCAAAGCACGTGACTCAGTTGCAGTGCTCAGAACTTTGTGGCAACATCTGTGTCATCCGATGTTTGCATCATGATTGTGAGGCCATTTAGAGGACAAAGTAACTCAGCTCTGCCATAAAATGAAATCAATCAAGTAGATGAATAAATAAGTTTTGCTCCAAGTCAGGGGCCTGTGTTGTGGGTGGGTGGCTTTTCTTTTTTCTATTGCCTTAAACCTTGCTGGCAACTGTTAGATCAAAGGCCAGCAGTGACCCCACAGCTGGAGTATGTCATTTTCATAATCATATGATGGGGCAGCAGCTCTGGTAACTGTACTCAGGCTGCAATAGGCAAAATTAAAAAAAAAATCTTTTAAGTAATGCGTCCAATGATAGCTTGTAGCTGTGGCACATCTGTAGGATTTATATAATGCAAAGAATAATGAGTTTAGGATCTGGACCAGACCAAAGAGCTGAGCAGGGAACTGAAGATGCAGAGAGGGATGGCGAGAGGCTGCTATGGGGCTGTGGGTTGAAGCAAGGTGCTGGTCATGCTGGGGAGAGGGAGGTGCTGCAGTGGAAGCCTTTCAGCACAGTGAGGTGCTCACCAGGTATGATGCTCTAAAAACTTTTGTGGATTAAGTGGGTTTAACGAT